AGGTTGACCCTCTCTTGCCTATTGTACTGTAGTCGAGGGAGCGTTACAACCATGTGAGGAGATGCCAGGGTGCTTCTCTGGTGAGTACTATAGCTGGTATTGTCAGGCTTCACATCCTTTAAGCTATCTGGTCAAGGAAACATCCCTGTGCCATAACAAGTTTGGGTTGTGATAGCCATGGACAAGCCAGCTAAGTGCATAGTAGTGTGAGTAAGGTGTGGCATTGTGTAGCCAGATCCAGCTGGGGGTACTGTACTGTACATGGGTCAGTTGTTCTAAATCACCGATGTGTATCATTTCACGCTTACACTTATGCAGTCTCTGTATGGGAAGAGCCTTCTATTGTCTTACAGCAAGTGAAGTGTATACTGGAAATATGTGATGATGTGTTTAATTAAAATAAGGACTTTCAGTGCAAAAATATGTTATTACAGTGTTCCTCATGTTGCTGGATCAGCTCACCATCTGTGACATTAACTGAGATACCATATTCATTGCTTGGACAAAGTTACTCTGTACTAAAAGATATTGTTTGTAGTGTTGACAATATTACTCCATGAGACCACAGCCCATGGGAGGGGTTACGGGAACAAATGATAAGTTACAATTTCCAAATTAATACATTTTCTGAAGATACTGTACTGTACTGTATTTCTAATGTTTTTACTCTACCTAAAAAAAATTTTCTTTAAATGTTTGGTAGTATACAGTAATTTAAATACAGTAATGTGGTGGTCATGAATTTAACTAAAATTTAGCACTGATAAAATTTTTTTTTCCTCTTAAACAGTTAATTGTAATGGGGACATATTATATGCATTTTGAAGGGTGATAAAGTACAGTACTGCTACCTGTGGGATCTGGCTTCACCAGGGCCATCTAGTTTGGGCACCTCACAATTTTTGGACAGAACTCTTTGTTTAGAGGATAATGCCGCTGACACCTTGGCAATGTATTTAACCTCTCACTTGTCGTTGGGAGTGACATTGACTGCTAGGTTGATTTTGGACTTCATGCTCTGTATTATTACTATGTAAAGGCTCTGGTAAGGGACATTACGCTAAAGTCACTATGTGGAATGGAGTAGAATGTATTAAATCCCTGAAGTGACTGTTAAATCTAATTTTTTAGTTGCTTTTTATCACATTTGTTGAAAGGCATTGATAGACTGCCAAAAAATTATCCAAGAATCAATTTGGGTTTAGTGCACTGTACTCCTTAACTACAGAGAGCCATTATTAGTAGGTTGAGTATATACCATCATAGTTGTAGATGATTTTTTTCTGTGTAGTTGACTTGAATGTGTGCTATGCTCTGGATTCATCCTGCACACGCATTTAGCACGGTTTATGCTTGGGGATTTGGAGGTAATACTGAATGTTTAACTTTCCTGTGCCCTCTCTGTGTATTCTGCTTAAAATTAATAGGGATTAAATCTCTCATTTAAAGTAACATTAAGAGAATTAAGAGCTTCATAGACAGTAATTGGTGAGTGATTAACCACAGGTGGTAGAAAGTTAACTAAAAACTCATGACTGAGACATGAACCCTCATACTGACTGCCGCACAGTACACCACATTTTTCTAAATCTCTTTTTCCTGCAACACACATTAACACTTTTCAGTCTTTGTTAATATGTTATTAGTGTTGCTGGAGCAAGAATTTACTTAATGGCTGAGCTAGTCATAGTTCTTCAGTCTGGTTTAGTGGGACCCACCCTGTCTCGCTAAATCATTCCCAGAAGTTTGATGACTAGGTTGCGACACAATCCTGATTGCACTTCATGCATAAAGTCAGGTAAGTGAAGATTGTTCTGAGGAACTTTTGAAATTTGATTTACAGTTTATATTCAACAAGTACAAAAAGTATTTGACTGAATTCACCATACTGTATCCAAATTTTATCAATAGTGCATTGAACAAAGACTTGTTGAATGGTTGGTAGACTGGATTGGCCGTGTCCAGTTTTTATGAATCGTGCAATCAACCGAGACACGTTGAACAGGTCATATACTTGATTAGCTGTGTCCAGTTCTTATGAATAGTGGGTTAATAGCCAAGATGTGTTGAATGCTTAGATGAGGATGGCCGTGAAAATACTTGCACCCCATAGCTGCTATGTGAGGAGAGCTGCCAAGTCAATTGTGATGGGAGAATGGATGGTCAGTATATTGACACAGTCACAGTTGGATTTTGTTTATTATTATTATTATTTTTTATGTATGCATCAGGCAGTAATATATATGAATTAGAATATATTTATTACTTAAGATGAACATAAAAGCCCTTTCTGATTAGGATTGAATATTAAACTTACTGTAATTTGTCTCGGCTATCTTAGTTACTCTTGTAGAACAAGTTATGTTAAAGTTTCACCAGATGGTTAATATAGTTGCCTGGATTTGTACATTGTGGTAACCAGTGATACTCAAATGGTGGTTCTTTTTGCAGCGGAGTATATTATGACCCCTTCTTAGCAGTACAGGCGGCTGCTGCATCTTCTCTTCAGATGAATCCAGTAAGTATCACATTGTTGTTGCCTCACTCATTTCACATTATATACTTGTGGTCATTACCACTCAATCTCCAGTCTCAGTTGTTACAAGTGATGGATTACCTAAATAAACAGTTAAGTACCAGTACTGTTGTGTCATTGAATAGACTGGAACAAATGATAAGTCATTGCACTGGCTTCCTACTGACAAGAAAAGTACAGTAGAGTCTTGGCCAAAATGGGTTTATCTAAAGTGGATTTGTTTATAAACGGTTGAAGAAATATGATTGATTATTTGCTGAAAGCTGAGAAAATATGCTTACAGCTATGATATTCCCCCAAGTACGGAAGGGATATGTTCCTAAAAAATCTTTTGGGTGGCAGAATTTTGTACATTGGTAAGGCTTTTCCCATTTTCTGAAAGGGAAAATCTATTAATGTGCTTTGCACAGCCTTCGCAATGCTTCTTTTATCCTAGAACCATGTAAATACCGGGCAAGCATCTAAACTGTTGAGATACCCATTTTTTCCTGTCATAAACTACTGCAAATCAGAAGGTATTTTTACTCCTGAACATTTTTAGAAATTTTATAAAATATGGCTGTTACAGTTGATCATTGAAGTGATCAAATATGGTAACTCGCCTGAAACCCAGTAAGTTATGCTTGACCATATATGGTCATCTTGCCTAATCCTGGTAACAAATTTTTTAGTAAATGTATCGTAAATATGCTCAATAAAACACAAGTACCTGTTGGCACTTTAACAAATTGATGCAAAGAAATTTTTACAAATAAAAATACAAATTTACACATTAAAAAAAGTAAAAATTATACCATATATTATATAGGCATCCTGTCAAATTCTTCAAACAAAAATACAAACTTTCTGATTTGAAAAGTTCCATTGTTGTTACAGCTAGTTTACTTCGGTATCCTGTTTGTTGAAATCTGCAAAGCAATTCCTATCACTGTTCCAGCAGAGATTAACTTTGTTTGATCTTATAATGTGGTCTTTTTTACTGCAAAACTTGCAGGTCTGCCTTTCTACATACTGTACATGGGTGCATGAAACTGGCTAAAGTCATACCTTACAATGTCATCAGGAGCTGTAGCTCTCTGGCCTTTGACAGCAGCGGGCATCAGAAAACTACCTGATGGAGACAGACCTGCTTGGAATGCTGAATATCTGAGGAACCTCCCAAGGGCAGGTTTGCTACATCTTGCAAACTGGGACACAGCTAATCTAAATTTCTTGAGGCTTTGTTGTGACATCTAGGACAAGGCAGTCACACCTATACTAAAGCCAACTATTTACAATGCTTAGATCTAAAACATGTGCAGAAAGCCTAAGGTACCACCGTTTTGTCTTCATTGGTGTTCTGTATAAATGTACTAGCATGTCACTCTTATCAACTCCTCCCATATGTCCATATTAATTCTTCACTACACTTGGGCAATCTACCTCTTTCTTTCTCTTTTTCTCCTTGCAATACCTCATTTGACAGTAGTGTCACAAACTTATTGTCTTTCTATTTCACTGCTAGGATTCCATTCCTTTACCTGTAATCAAGTGTGCCCCTTGGAGTTTGTTTTTTGTCATCTGCTTGATACATGTTAGATTGGCCTTCCTATTGTGTTCTCCCTGGCAGTACTTGTATAACTACAATTAACTTTTTTTTTTTGTGGCACTGTACCACCTGAATACTGATGAAAAAGTTATTTGAATATATATGGCTGTAGTACACTGAGTGTCTGTAGTTGTAGATTACAACTTTACTGCTCTTGGCCATCTTCTCCACTTCTGCCCGGGACACAGAATGAACATCAAATGTGTTCTGGTTCTGATACATTAGTATGTCATGTATGATACCATCATCACTGGCTTACTTTTTAATTATATCTGAGATTACAGTATAGTATCGATTTACGCGGATTTCCTTTACTCGGTTGTCATTTACGCAGCACCTGGCCAGACCAGCAATTATTAGTTACGCGGTACATTCCATTATTTACGTGGGGAGCGGCGCGGGCAGGGTGCGCACTGGGTCACCCAGTCAACAAAACATTACCGAGTTCTTCAACCGCCACCCACCACAGCCAGCCCAAGTCAGTGATAGTGAGGATATGAACTTTGAGGGGTTTGACAAAGAGGCCCTGCAAGCCTCTGTGGTGGATAGTGATACAATTGATACAAGTGATACAGGTGAGGGCCAATAATCTGCCCTCTCCCTCGGAACCAACCCCCCATCCCCGTGTGCCCAGCCATCTCTTCTACTAACGTAAGTGTTAAAAAACCTAATATTATTGATATTTCTCTTAAATATTATTTGTGTGTGCATACCATCATAAAATTAAGATGTTATTTTTACTACAACGTACGTATTGTGTCGGAAAAAGGGTAGTCTGGGGTCGGCCCAGTCTCTATTTCAATTAATCCCATATGTTCTGTTATTTCGTTTACGCGTTTCTCGTTTTACGCGGACCTCCACAGGTTTAATTGACCGCGTAAACCGAGACTATACTGTACCTGCTGATTTACCTTTGTATCACACCAATACCTCATCAACTGACTGTTCAAGTGTTTGTTCAGTTCTCAGAAATGCTTTGTAACAAAGTTGAATACTGTAATGGTCTGATCTTGTGGAACCTATCAGTGGAACCTGCAGTCTGATCATTGTCATTCATGTGGATAAGGCAACGAAGCAACCTGAAATGCTTTGAAAACATTACATTGGCTACTTGAGGTACTGTACTTGAGTCTCAGAGGCCCACTGACCATCCAAAGAGGGTAACTCTGCAATACGGTACCCATATCAAGCAAAATGCCTGTGAAATTGAGAATTTCATCTTTGTTTGTTGAGAATGTTGAATTTATATCCTTTTGCCTTACAAAAAGATTAGTTTTGTAAACAACATGTTCAAGTACATCTGTAGTAATAAATGATATGAAATATTCAAAAGGAACCAAAACATGGGTGGGTTTTACATGGCAGTAGTCTGGTACAGGAGGGTTGCTGATGTCTTCCTTTCGCCACACGAATGAATCAACAGGTGGTGTGGAGCCATGGGGGTTGTCCACCTCCTCATACTCTATCATCATCAACCCTCCATGTAGTGACTCCAGCCTCCTTTCATTCTCAGTAACTGCCTCGTTTACTAAATTCATTATGTTTTGTGGGGTGTGGCCAGAGATGACATTGTTTACATGGCGCTCGCCTCCTCGTGGGTGGGTGGTGTCCCGCTGTCCCCTGATTATGTATTTGTGCATTTACCTGCACTACTTTCCCTTTGTATATAACCCATCTATGTCTGTCCCCATTCCTCTTTGAATCCTCCCTTATCTGCTTCAAGAACTTCAGGAGCTCTTTGTGCGGTACTGTTCCCTCTGCATTACCATGCGATCTGGGTTTTGGATATACCCTGAAATGTTTCGCTCTCTTTTAAGTTTTTTGCCTGCCGAAATACTTTCCATATCTTATCCTCTTTCTCTAGTGTGTTCCTGAGGGAGCTGGTTTTATTCTCCTGCCCTTGTCCTAGCCTCCTCACTTGATGATGATGATGGGGGGGGGGGAGGCCGACAAGTTCAGAGTCTCATCACTAATTTTTCTGAAACTTCATCTTATCATGTGTTTTCCGATTTTCAGCTTCCTCCAACTGACTCTCAGGGACTTCAAATACTATTATATTGTTCCTGCATTCAAATTGTTCTCGGTGTTTCTCCTCTCCCATATCAGTAGGCCTATTAGTTGTCATCTTTTCAACACACTTCTGCAGAGTCCCAAGTTACTGAAGGAACTGTTTGGATCCTACATTACTCTCCGTCAAGTTCAGGATCACTATCATCTGGGACCACAGAAATAATGGCGTGACCAGCCTTGCATGTCTTTGTGGAATAGAAAAAAGAGTAAAACTGAACTGCATAGAGAAGAAAACACAGCAATTTCATACATTTTCACAATTACTATGGCTCATTATAATCATTCCAATTGCCATCACATGTAAATAATAATGTTACAGTAATTTGATATCTTAATTAGTAGGTCTTAAGTACTTTACTAATATTTTTTAGCAATTTTAAGTAAGCAACACGAGTTACGGTAACTTAGGCAAGTTGTCTATAAATTATCAACTATGGGTTAGGATGCATCGAGTCAGATATCCATATATGGTCAAACATGGATACGGGCAAGTGGGGTGCATGACCAAATTTTGGGTCACATTGTGCATCGAACCATCACAGGAAAAACATGCCTCATCACTACAATTTTCATAACATTATTGACCAGAGTGATTCACCTATGCACTACAGTAAAAACCCCATACTGTAATTCAAAATAATAGGAGCTATATCCCTTACATATGAGATTTTATAAATTATGAGGGACACCTTCTCCCAAAGGAAAAAACATACGAAACAACAGTACTTTTTCTGTTATCTGCCCCAATCAAAATTTAAATGTTTCTAAATATGGTTCTGTATTAGATTTAGGGTTATCAAACATAATAGTGTGGCTCACCTGCTGGGCAATGATGGAAAAATAAGCGGAAAAAGCTGCAAGACTGACCCACTTGAACTGACCGACAGATTCGACACTTGTATACTTGTTTAGACTGATGTGGGCGGTCGTACCCTATGGCGATATATGCATCATACATATTTTATAAATGTCTCATAATTTGAAATTTTACTAAATATTACGAAAATTGTAATATGTACTGTATATGAGGAGCTCCGGACCATAATCTGCTAAGTGCCTAAATTGAAAATACAATAGTCTCTTCAGAGGATACTTACCCACATGTACATGCTCCCAATTGGATCTCTGATTTACCCAGGGGACAGGGGAGAAGTTGGGGAATGCAAGGCAATACATAACACTTTTCAGCAGGTATGGCCCGGAGCCCCTCATATATACAGTGGTCCTTCGGTTAATGAACACAATTCGTTCTACAGAGTTGTTCGTTAACCGAAAATTTTGTTAACCGAATCCATTGTTTCAATGGGATATTGGGTAATTGGTTCCAGCTCACAGAAAAGTACATACAAAGTAAAAAAAAAATGCAGTAAAGTACACTTACAGTACTTTGAGGTGTGTATGTAGAAGGTTTCTGGTTGATGATGATGATGGTAATTAGAAGTGGGGGTGGAGGAGAAGGGAGAAGAGAAGGAAGTGGGGATGGAGGAGAAATCACCTTTCACGGGACCCATGCTTGATGCAGTAATTTCACCAATAAAATTTTAAGTTCACTAGGTGTAATTCAAGATTATTTTATTTAAATCAACACTGCACTGCGCTATATACAAGTATTATCAATATGTTAACTAAATTTCAGAATGACCAATAATTTTAATGTAAAAATGCAAAAATATTCAAGACACCAACAAAATCGATGTTCACTCCACTGTAAACAAAGCCAAACTGACACCTGGTGGGTGAGTCAAGCGCCTGATGGGCGCACAAAAAACTAGTTCCCTGTACTGCATATATTATCAATATGTTAAAAATTTTAAAATGACTAATAATTTTAATATAAATATAAAGAGCACAACTTTCTTGATATTTACTCCACTGGAAACGAATGTAAACATTGAACAGATTACTGAATTGGCAGACTAGCCCATCAGCTGATCAGCTGATGCTCGCAACAAAATGTGTTTGTAATAAGGATTTCGTTAATCGAAGTTTTGTTCGTTAACCGAATTGAAGATCCTTATGGGAGGTAATTCGTTAACCGAAATTTCGTTAATCGAACCATTCGTTAACCGAGGGACCACTGGATTGTAATATTTTTAAAAGTCTCGCGCTTTTTGATATTCCACCAAATACTGTACTGTATTACAAAATTTATGACATATATTTTGCAGGGTGCTGTAGGCCATGGAGATTTCAGAGTTCTCATCGTGTAACTGACCCCCCAGTGCGTCTCTTGAAATAATGAGCATTGTTCACTTTCCCCGCCATTGATTGGTGACAGAAGCCTACCACATCATACATGACATCCTAGCTTAATGCCTTCCCATTGGCTGCTTCCTTCAGCATGGGATTCTTATGTCTTCCGTGGTGTCAGGAGCTGCCAAAATAAGGCTGATTCAAGTGCTCAATTATCGTCACTTGCCCGATAAAGAGTTAAGATAAATCAATCAATCAATCAGATTACCATCCTCATATTGGCAACCACAGTCCTCCACTCTAAACATAGAGTACAGTCAGTGCTTGCTTAACATACACTTGATGATACATACATTTTATAGATGTACCAATTGTTCAATGTTTTGTACAGATTTTCGACGATGCATACATTGGACCTATGATGGGCTTGTCCACTGCCACGTGATCACAGATGCCCTTTGTTTGTTGCACTTACTTTGTTTCTGTTTTGTATTGGTAATTTGATGTGGAATGTGACTAAAGTTGGCTGTGTTTATAGTGTACAGTACAAGGTATTTTGTATTGTGACCGAATATTTTGTTATACCCTGCAGTACTGCAGGCAGTCCCCGGGTTATGAACAAGTTCCATTCCTGGGGACGTTCGTAAGTTGAAGCACATGCTATGTACTTACAGAACTATACATCTAAAATCACTTATTTTAAAAGAAAAGAAGAAATAGAATCACAAAATACAGTAAATAAAAGTAAAAGATAAGTCATCAGGTAAATAGAATACTGAACTGTAAATTTATAGTTTAACCTCGGTTGTATCGGCGGATGTTTGTAAGTCAGACGTTCGTAACCCGGGGATTGCCTGTATACTATGTAGAGCAGGGGTTCCCAAGCACTTTCCAGTGCAATCCCATATAGTGCTGTTGCCTAGCTTGTCCTGGCTGGCAGTGACAAGTGTTGTATGTGTAGGCCAATTGTGTTTCATAAATTAAAAGCCACCCCCTTCATTGCAGCAAGCAGCTGCAGCCGCAGCAGCAGCAATGGGCCAGCCAGGTGCATTCAACCATGCCACTATGGGGACCTCAGCTGCTCATTTCCTTAAAACACCACCACTCTCTGTTTCAACGGCCCAGCAGGCAGGATATGCAGCAGCAGCAAATGCCTACACAGCTGCTGCAGCACGGGCTTATGGAGTAGCTGCAGCAGCTGCTCAGCCTACAGCAATGGCTGCCTATCCCACTCTTGCAGCTGGGTAAGTCCTCTTTCTCTGTGGGATTTTCTTTGAAACCTTAACCTCTAGTGAAATAATTAACAGTAGTTACAGTATGGTATGTATAAATTAGGTACAATATGCCCTTAAAATTCGCGGGGGTTAGGTTCTCTAAATGGCCGCTAATCGCCAAATCCGCGAATAACATTTGCTGACCGGGTGGGGGTACATTTTTACTTGTGTACAAATAAATGTATATTCCCATTATGTGTTTGCCCTTAGGACAATTATTTTTTTTACCTGTATTGTATATACAGTATGTGTGTGTGTAGACACACACACACATACAAATAAATAAATAATGGAAAAATCCTCTCACAAATAATTAGAAACAAATGTATTAAAAATGTTGAGTCCACACACATATACGTGTACAATACAGGTAAAGGAAATTACTGTCTCTAGAACGAATGGCTCCCTGTCCCGGCCGTGAAAATGCCAGCAACTTTAAAAGTACCCTTAGACATTCTTGGGTACATCCAGGGTGTCATCCATGAATCTGTGAATCTAGATTTGGAGGGTGTGCTATAGTTTATAGTAATTACCTGTGCATGTATTGTTCTTTTCGGTAACATCTCGAAAATTGTGACAAAGTCCCAGGTTGCTGATTTGACTGACTTTCCGCCTCATTTACACACAATTGCAGGGTCTCGACTGGTTCTCTGACTTTAACAACACAACTTATAATTCGTTTCTCACTCTTAATCTTTTTTTTTTTCAAATGCAACAGCCCCCTTTATTTTTCTATGCAACACTTGAGAAAACAGTGTTGGTATCCCTACAGTACACAATGAGCTAATTGGTTTTACTTTACCCAGAAAAATGTGGTGAAATTTGCTGGCTGGGAACGCACCCCCACCCACCCCTGTTTATATTAATTCTTTGGGAAAATTGCCCCATTATTCGCAATAATGTTTAGGAACTCATGTTGCGATTTCTGGTTACCAGTGGAATCACTGATTAGAGGTGAACTGGAAACAGCATTCATAAATGTTTATGGGTTCAATTTTAAAACCCAAATGGTCTTTTCTCCATTTATAAAGAAAATAAACTGTATTACAATAGCTGGGATATCACCGTAATTAATGCTATGAGCTATGAATGTTAATAAGGGACAAAGCTTATGTATAACTAGCTTCTTAGAGAACACGTCTTGGTGGCTCAGAGATGGGAGTCGAGCTGGCGATAGCCGGCTACTTAATTGAGGACTCTGCAGTCAAGGTGTGAGATCAGTGGGAATACACGTCACATGTCCAGTTGATGACTACTCATGGCTCATAGGAAAGTTACCCGTGGGTGATGTACTGTAATTATATAAACCTTATGTATGTAACCCACATATATATAACTACACTATTACTCTCCGTTAGACAGGGATTAATACACACATCCCTTGCGATAACCAGGGTATTCCTGTGTGTGTGTAGTTTTATATACAGCTCCTCCCCGACTTACGACCTACTTGATTTACGACCACCCGCACTTACGACCTACTCGACTTACGACCACCCGCACTTACAACCTGCCTCAGTCGTACCAAAATTTTGTCAAATTACGTATTTTCGAGTCCCAACTTCAGTACACAGAAAAAATTTTTGTTTGTAATTCACTTTAAAAAGGCTGGCAAGCTTAAAAATGAGAGTTTTGTGGTGCTGAGAAGAAAAAGAGACACTCATTTAGATTTTCTATGTACAGTGGTCCCTCGGTTAATGAGCACAATCCGTTCTAGAAGGTTGCTCGTTAACCGAAAAACTCGTTAACCGAAACCATTGTTTCAATGGGTTTTGGGTAATTGGTTCCAGGTCACCGAAAATTGCCTAAATTCAACAAAAAAGGTAGAAAAGTACACTTACTTTGAGGTGTGTATGTAGAAGGCTCCTGGATGATGATGATGATGATGATGGGAATTAGAATGGAGGTGGAGGAGAAGGGAGAAGAGAAGGCATTGGGGTGGAAGAGAAGTCACCCCATGGCACCATTTCACCCATAAAATTTTAGTTCTCTTGGTGTAATTCAAGATTATTTTCTTTAAATCAACACTGCACTGCATTACATATTGTCAATATGTAAAATAAATTTCAAAATGACCAATAATTTGCTTGCAAACAGAAAAAAAGCATTTAGTTGAAGAGAGTCTCAAGCAAGATGTTACCTCCACTAAAAAGACACAAAGACTGACGCCTGTTTGGTGTGTTGAGAGGCTGGATGACGTGCATAAAACTAGTTTCATTACCTTCAATTATGTTCAATAATTGTGAAAATGACTAAAAATTTTAATATTAAACTTTTAAAATTATTGAATAGTATAAACTTCTTGATATTTGTTAAAATGGTAAGGAATTTAAGCCCTAGAACCGATTACTGTATTGGCGGACTAATACTACAGGTGGTGGACCGTCAAATGCAAGCGAAAACATGTTGAGGTCGGCTCGTAAGAAACTCGTTAATCGATGGATTGCTCATTAACCGAAGTTAAGCATCTTATGGAAGGTAACTCGTTAACCGAGGCGCTCGGTAACCGAGGGACCACTGTATTATTTAAGCATTTTCGACTTACGGCCATTTCGACTTACGACCTGGATTTGGGTCCCTAACCCCGTCGTAAGTCGGGGAGGATATATATATATATATATATATATATATATATATATATATATATATATATATATATATATATATATATATATATATATATATATATATATGCAAGTAATCACTGTAGGTGCGCGTGATCTAGGTATATGCTGATAACCACAAGGAAAGAAGAAAACACGAAGTTCCCAAGCGCTTTCGTGTAATTCACATCTTCAGGGGTGAGTACAGACTAGAGAGAGAAATACAAATCAAGGTGTATATATACAGAGGAGGGTGAGACCAGGTCCACAATGGTCAGGTATTAGGTAATGACCCTACTAATCTTTAAATAGCACACAACGGTTGGTGGTCAGGTCAGATGGTCAGGTGACCCGGCCTTCTCACCTGGTCACAAATCTTCTTAATTACAAAATTGTCCAGCTTGTACATGCCGTTACTCAAATTCATGTTGAATGCTTCGGTATGTTTAATAAGACTAGATTCTATGATGTTCCTACCATAAATTGAATTACATGGTAATATTGAGGAGGCATTATCCCAGTCAATGCAATGCTTGTTATCCCTCAAATGAACAAACAGAGCATTGGATTCCTGGCCTGTCCTAACACTGTATTTGTGTTGTGTAATTCTAGTTGCAAGATCTTTACCTGTCTGGCCTAAGTAAAACATATTACATTCCTTGCAAGGAACTTTATAAATGCAACCAATTGTGTTGTTGGGGGAGTTCTTGATTAACATTTGTTTAACAGTGCATGAGTTTTTAAATGCACATTGACGTTCCAGGTTTTTTTTTAGTTGGGGTTTAAACAGGGATTAGCCCACCCAGGCACAGATCACTGACCCACATCGGGGCCTGGGGGGCAAAAATTTAATAGTAATAATAATAATAATAATAATTATTCATAGTAAATAAAAAATTTAATAAAAATACACCAAAATAAAATAATAATGACAACAATAATAATAATAAAATGTAATAATAAAATTAATAATAATAATAACAATAATACTGTAATAATATAATAATAATAATAATAATAATAATAATAATAATAATAATAATAATAAAGAAATACAAGAATAAAAAAAGATCAAAAGTGAGAAACACAACCTAGACCTATGAATTATTATTATTATAATTTTTATTATATCCCCCCCTCCCCCCCCCAGGCCCCGATGTGGGTCAGTGATCTATGCCCGGGTGGGCTAATACATATTAAAAAAAAATAAATAAATAAATAACTATTCCGAAATGCCTCTGGCCCCCAAGGATTTTGGATAAGGGATTGGCCCCAAGGATTTCAGACAAAGGATTGTCAACCTGTATATATATATATATATATATATATATATATATATATACATATATATATATATATATATATATATATATATATATATATATATATATATATATATATATATATATATATATATATATATATATATATATTGATAAAATCACACGGGAAAAGGGAAACAACGGAGCACCTTAGCTTTCGTCTTTATTCAAGACATCTTCAGAGGCAACTGGATTTCATGGACAGAGAGAGGCTTAAATATACAGGGTGACCTTAAAAACATGAGGTCAGGTCATAATGATGTCATCCACTAATCCCCACACCAACACACATACAGGAGCTTAAGAGAAGGGGGGTGACATGACTAGTCAGGTCAGGTCAGGTCAAAAATAAGGGACCCACTAAATAACTATCATACATCTAGATCAAAGGTTTTCAAAGCATTTTTAACCTTCGGCCACTGACAAATAAATTTATGTAACATATCAGTTTTGAACTGACCATCACTAAGGTTTATTGATTTTAATTTCTTAATCAAACTAGCTTCAACCAGAAGTCTTTCTGTGACACAAGATGATTTAAATACTTCTAAGCTTTTTTCCCAAGCAATGGGGTGATTATTATTCCTAACATGAACGAACAAGGCACTGCTTTCAGATGCTGTTCTGATATTATACTTATGTTGTTTGATTCTGAGCTGCAGTGTTTTTCCTGTCTGTCCTACATAATTACAATTACATTTGCTACATGGAATACAAACACTGACCTCATGTTTTTAAGGTCACCCTGTATATTTAAGCCTCTCTCTGTCCATGTAATCCAGTTGCCTCTGAAGATGTCTTGAATAAAGACAAAAGCTAAGGTGCTCCGTTGTTTCCCTTTTCCCGTGTGATTTTATCAAGATTTATCTTATCCACGTTTTCATTGTGGATCTACATGAAATATATATATTTATATAAATATACAGTGAACCCTCACTTTTCGCGGTCAATTGGTCAATTGAACCCACGGAGGCCCTCGTAAAGCGAGAAACCTTTCTCCATAAAGTGAACAACATAACATATGGGATTAATTGAAATAGAGACCGGGCTGACCCCCAATCTCCACTTTTTCCTGACACAATACCTATGTTCTAGTAAAAATAACATCTTAATTTTATGATGGTACATGCACACAATTAATATTTAAGAGAAATAGAGAAATACAGTCGCCAAGTTAATGTTCATTCAAATAATGGACTCAACTCCCTTCCCCTCTTCTCACACTCGCTGGCTCTTCCCTCTCTGAGAAATGTTTGGGGGAAAACACTAGATTTTAAGGTATAGTAATAAATAATACCTCAAACTAAAGTTAGGATAATATAATTGACATTGCTGGATTCCTTGCAAGACCAGGAATATTTTGAATGTAAATGTCATATATTTTGCACAAAAGATAACATATTTACTCAGAGTAAACAAAATACTTACATAAGATCTAATATTTGTATGTCTAATGCAAAATCAATGATGTTTATATTCAAAGTGATCATCAAATTGTAAGAATTCTAGCAATGTAAATTATATTCTGGCCGGGTAATTTGTATGAATTTTATGAGCTAAAACAAATATCTTTAATAAATAAACAAAATATACTTACCCAAATACTATCTGTCAATCAAAATGCCCCACTTCCTCCCATCTTCCCACCTGCTCCCTAGGTCCCTCCCTGCCCCTCACCCCCACCTTCCCTCCCTACCAGAGAAATGTTTGGTTATAACAGTATACTGTACAGTATTTACATTTTTAGTAATAAATAATACCTCAGACTAAAGTTAGGATAATATAATTAACATTGCTGGATTCCTTGCAAGACCAGGAATATTTTGAATATACACGTCATATATTTTGCACAAAAGATAACATATATGTTCTGAGTAAACAAAATACTTGCATTAGATTATAATTTGTATGTAATGCAAATTCTATGATGCTTATATTAAAAATGATCATCAAATTGTAAGAATTCCAGCAATGTAAATTATATTCTGGCCGGGTAATTTGTATGAATTTTATGAGCTAAATAAAAAAATTATACTTCACCCTCGTATATGAGTAGATGCACTGCATATGAGTAGATGCACGCATAAAGTGGGAATTCCGGTTCTGGCAGGGCACCGCATATATATATATATATATATATATATATATATATATATATATATATATATATATATATATATATATATATATATATATATATATATATATATATATATATATATATATATATATATATATATATATATATATATATATATATATATATATATTATATATATTTATATATATATATATATATATATATATATATATATATATATATATATATATATATATATATATATATATATATATATATATATATATATTAATATTAATATTACTGCAGGTTGATGGAATTTTCTGATACATTTGTAATATGCTCTAGTATCAGTTGAGAGAGAACAGAACTGTACTGTAATTATAATAATGCCAGTTACTGTATTAATTTTTGTTTTGTGGTTTCCCTGCACAATATCTGTTCTCATTATGGTAGAAAGCATTGTCTTATGTACCTCAGATTCTGTTTATTAATGGAAACCCTTCTTCTTTTTCTTTTCATAGACAAATGTATTACAGTGACCGGTCCTACCTCGACCCCTACATCACGGCAGCTTCGGGTATTGGTCCTATGGCTGGCTATGGGGTAAGTCAGTTTGTTAACCTATTCGTCCCCTCCCCCCCCCAAAAAAAAATATACTTGTATATATATTGTATATATATATATATATATATATATATATATATATATATATATATATATATATATATATATATATATATATATATATATATATATATATATATATATATATATATATATATATATATATATATATATATTATATATATATATATATATATATATTATATATATATATATATATATATATTGTATATGGGTGTTGTCAGAATGGTTAAGGAAAGAGTGATTGAAGGTCTTGATACTTAGTTGAAAGAAACCTGGATACCTCGGAGTATTTTATGTTAAAAAACAATTTGAAAATTAATTAAAAAGCAGTGTAAGTTTTTCTTATTCAAGCTATAAAAAAAAGGAAAACAGTAGTGATGTAATATTTAGTATACAGTAGAATCTTAGTTAACTCACTCTAAGGATCCCCCTACTAAATCCAACAATACTGTACACAGTGCTACAGGCTGACCTTGCAAATTCATGTCTCAGAAAAACAGACTTTTTAACACCTATTTCATTCTATATAAACGATGTGGCTTATGAATAAAAAATATATAATACAGTTGAGTCTGGATTTACGCGGTTTGGTTAACGCGTTCGGTCATTTACGCGGTGCCTTGCCAGAATGAAATGCTGTAATTACGCGGTAAATTTGGTCATTTACGCGGGAAGCGGCACAGGCAGGGTGCGCACAAGGTCACCCAGTCAATAAAACATTACCGAGTTCTTCACCCGCCACCCACCACAGCCGGCTCAAGTCAGTGATAGTGAGGATATGGACTTTGAGGGGTTTGACAAAGAGGCCCTGCCAGCCTCTTTGGTGGATAGTGATACAATTGATACAAGTGATACAGGTGAGGGCCAATAATCTGCTCTCTGCCTCGGAACCAACCCCCCATCCCCGTGTGCCCAGCCATCTTTTCTACTAACGTAAGTGTTAAAAAACCTAATATTATTGATATTTCTCTTAATTATTAATTATGTGTGCATACCATCATAAAATTAAGATGTTATTTTTATTACAACGTACGTATTGTTTGTGTCAGGAAAAAGTGGAGTTTGGGGGTCGGCCCAGTCTCTATTTCAATTAATCCCATATGTTCTGTTATTCCATTTACGCGTTTCTCGTTTTACGCGGGCCTCCACGGGTTCAATTGACCGCGTAAATGAAGACTCAACTGTATAAAACTATAAAATAAGGAAAATGAAGAGCATGGGTGTGTAAGTGTGGGATGTGGAATTAGTGGGCTATAACTACGTTGTGGACTCATCAGCCCAGCTGTCATGTTTATTGTTACTTTTAATGAAACTATAAAAGTTGTTTAAAATTCATTACAACACTCTAATGTGGCTTAGAAATAAATAAAATAGGTAAATATTTAGAAGTTGCCAAGACCTACTTATATATTGAGTCTTATGTAGGGAGAAAGCGAAAAAAAAATTACAGTATTCTAAAGTTTTTCCGTCGGAAATTTATATTTCCAACAATATTACCGTATTTTATGGCATATAAAATGCAGTCTTGTCGGAAAAATGGCAAAATGGTGAAGTTGAGGTCTCCCGTTACGTAATGAATCCCCCCCCGCTGCTGTCTCCAGTAGGCTAAATTCTACCTAACCCAACCCCAGAATTAAAAATATGTTATTGCTTGCTTAAAAACATTATTGTTAGTTTTAATTAATTTAAAAAATAATTATTGTAAAAATAAAAGCTTGATTTATAACTACTGTACTCATGATGATAACCTAAGACGATTAACGTCCATATGGCAGACTCCCAACTCTTAAGAGATAACTAAGCAGTAACCACACCTGAACTCTTATAAGCATTACAATCTATTAATGTCATTCCTGCAACATTTATTTTTAAATCTACATATACCTGATACAACTGAAGATTTACATATAATTTTCTTTTCACTTTTGCGTCTGTTAACATCGCTGGCAGCATTGTAGCGAGATTAGACTTGTCACTATAACAGCCAGGCTACTGGTGTTATGGTTGTTTTTCATCTCGTTTTTTGGGTAGATATACGCAACTTTCTTCATTTATTTTTACTCGGTTACATGCACACACCATCCTACATACATAAACAGTGGGGTATGCTATAACGAACCTAATTGGTTCTAGAACCTCGTTCGTTATAGGATTAATCCGTCCCAGGCCCCTCAAATGCAACCACTTAACACTGAAAATTTTCTGTGGAAAATGTAAAAAATACGGTACTTTATCTTACCTTAGTGTTGTTCATCATGCAGGACAGGAGGCAGAGGGGGAGGGGGGAGGAGAGAATTATGGAGAAGAGGTGGAAGGAGAGGAGTCATCCTTCCTAGCCCTCTTTGGTGACTGTCTTATAGGCACTTTGTCTGTAGGGTCTTTTGCTACTTTTTTATAGAAGGAATCCAGGGTTGGCTGCTTCAACCTTGATTTCTGGACCTTCCAAAAGTAGTTCATCACATTGTCATTAAACACACTGATGGCCTTTTCCACAGCACCAACATCAGGATGATAATCCTCCGCAAGCTTAGACAGTTTGCTCCAGCAAAAGAACACATCCTCCCCTGACTCCTCAGAAGTTAAGCTCCGTTTCAGTGTCTCATTTTCTTCTTTGTGAAGCTCAAACAGCTCCTCAGTGGACAGCTCCTTACTGTGCTCTTCCACCAACTCTTCAACTTCATCATCATCCACTTCCAGGCCCATGGAATTGCCCAGAGACACAATTTCATGTACAACAGCCTCTTCCTTTAACTCTTCGAAGCCTTCAAAGTCTCTTTGAAGCACACATTCAGGCCACAATGGCCTCCAGGCAGCACAAAGACACCTCATAGTAACCTCTTTCCAGGCTGGCGCAATTAAAAACACAGCGTCTGCTATATTGAAGTGACTCTTCCAGAATTCCTTCAAACTAATATCACTGAAAGAAGTGGACGCAAAACATTTTCTAAACAGTGCCTTTGTGTACAGCTTCTTAAAGTTAGAAATTACCTGTTGATCCATGGGCTGGATGAGGGGTGTTGTGTTGGGTGGCAAGAAGTGCACAGTGATGAAGTTGAACTCCTCTGGCAATTCAACCATCAAATTAGGAGAGTGGGCTGGTGCATTGTCCATCACCAATAGAGCTTTCAGTGGAAGATTATTCTCCCTGAGGTATTCCCGAACACTGGGTCCAAACACCTCAATCACCCACTCAGAGAAAAGACTCCTGGTCACCCAAGCCTTTGGGTTTGACCGCCACATAACACCAAGGCGGTTCTTCCTAATGTTTTTGAAAACTCTGGGGTTTTCTGCATGGTACACAAGGAGTGGCTTTATTTTGCAGTCACCAGAAGCATCAGCACAAAGAAGGAGGGTAAGCCTGTCTTTCATTGGCTTATGGCCAGGGACAGAAGTTTCCTCCCTTGTAATGTATGTACGGCAAGGCATTTTTTTCCAAAAAAGTCCAGTTTTCACAGTTGAATACCTGCTGAGAAACAAAGCCTCCCTCTTTAATCACATTCAAAAAAATGTCATGGTGTTCCTTAGCTGCTTCCTTATCTGCACTAGCAGCATCACCATGTCTCACAACACTGTGTAATTTATTTCTTCTTCTGAAACAAGTAAACCACCCCTTGGTACCCCTAAACACTGGCACATCACTATCACTTCCACTGGGAGTCTTGGCTTTAAGGTCCTCAAACAATTGTCTGGCCTTCTCACAAATTATAGCTTCACTAATGTTACCACCTGCTATTTCTTTCTCCTTTATCCACACAAAGAGTAAATTTTCCATCTCCTCAGTCACATTACACCTTGCTTTGCTAAGTCTAGAGATTCCCTTAGCCACTTGCACAGTTTTCAATTCCTCGTTATTCTTCAAAATCGTACATATAGTCGATTTAGCCATCCCATATTCATCACTAAGTTTCGCAATGCTTGTTCCATTCTCACGTTTCTTTATGATTTCTTTCTTAGTTTCAAGAGTTATGAGCTTTCTCACTTGCTTTGGACGATTCATTGTTACAATTGTACACTTGTATAACAAAATATTTATACAAATAACTCATATTTCCACATCAAAAGACGAAATTTCAACAATAACAGTGGTGCACTGGCTACACGAGACAAAGATGGCGCCTGACGCTCTTGTTGTGGGTCGCGGTACAACAATATTCATGCGCCTGACGAAATAGTCCCGTATTCATCCGCGTTCGTTGTAGGAGTTGCGTTCGTTATAGCATAGGTAAAACCATTCGTTATAGGAATATTCGTAGTAGGATCCGTTCGTTATAGAATACCCCACTGTATTGTGAAAAGATAAGAGCAAAACTTGTCCTAAGGGGAAACATGTAAAGGGAATATACATTTCTTTACACACAAGTTAGCTGGCTAGCTCAGTGGGGGAGCAGTTGGAGGCGGGACGTGAGAGGGAGCGTTGCTAGGTAATCGGCGAAGGTGGTGTCTGTGTTGCTATGTTGAGCCAGGGACTATACAAATGGCAACTGTTAAACTTTCATTTGACTTTTATTTACTGGTTTGGCCAAAGAGTAGTAGGCCCTTGCCATTCGCATGTCTGAGATTCGCTGTAAGCAGATGATGGCTAAGGTGGCTAGCTTGCGAGCCGTTTTCCGCTGCACAACGAGTCACCTCACACAGCATCTCGTGTTTTACTCTCAAAACTTTAGTGTTTCTGTGTGAAATGGCCCCTAAAAGACTGCCTAGTATCAGTGCTAGTGATGCTAGTGGAGTGAAATGTAAAAGGCAGAAGTCAGTGATGACCCTGACAAACAAAGTTGAATTATTGGAGAAGTTAAAAGAGGGGATGAGTGCTGCTATGCTGGTCGGTTGTTTGGTATGGGTATACAGTACTATACTTGACTTAGCAGAATATAACTTGCATTGCTGGAATCCTTGCAAAATAGCTATAAATTTGTGTACTGTATAAACATCTCATAGTTTGCACAAGAGATAAAAATTTTAGTCCTTTAGCATAGTACATTTGAATACAAAATGAGTACTGTACAGTAATATGCTGCTCAAAATTTTGCTTTTTCACAGGGAAAAGTCAGTATAACTAGCCCTAGTGATCAGGATATTATGGTGTTGAATGTTACAGAGTATTTCAAATAAATTCTTTGTTTAGTTCTGTACATAGAGACTTGGTGATAGAAACTAATAATTTGAGCTTATTAATATCAGTACCCTTCATATACAGTAAAATACTTATTTTTACCTTATTATTTGGCTTGTCATTAAAGGATATCATTTTGGAAACATCTCATAGAGAATTTATTCAGGATCATCATGGTATCAATTTCATCTCTAACACAAATAGAAGTTATAATGAATGCTGTGAGGAAGGGAGGGTGTTTGCGTAAATAACTACAGTTCCTATGAGCTGCATCGTTTACTCTTGGAAAATACCACTCTTTGCTGTAACATAGCTCTATTCATGCCCATATCATAAAGAGCTTTTTTGTTGTTGTTTTTTATACAGTCAACCCTCGCTTTACGCGGTCCCACATTCCGCGTTTCCACGTTAACGCGGTGCCCTGCCAGAACCTAACGTGCTCACATTACGCGGTGCGTGAACCCCATTACGCCGAGAGTGTCCGGCGCGACGCTATTTTTAGATTCGCCCCACCCGCCTGCCTGCCTGTGCTCTCGCCTCTTCCTCCTCCTCCTCCCTCCCTCCCTCCCTCCCTCCTCCCTCCGCCTGGGCAAGCCGCGCGGTAAGGTTGCACAGTGTGTGTCTTTGTTGCGTTATCACTGACGTCATATGACGTATCGGACTGTGATTGGCCATGCATCCCTACCCCCCTCTGCTGCTAGCTGTAATTGGCTTAAAGTATTATGACGTGTCCACCCGGGGGAGGGAGGGAGGGAGGAAAGACGATGCTTGACCTAGCTGCGCCAGTTTCATCCCTCCACGCCAGACCGTGTAAACGTGTATCCATTGTTCTGTAAAATGGCTTCCGCCGGACCACCGCCCCCAGAGAGAAACCTTTCCTTACCTGGACCCAGCGGCACTAAGCCAAAGAAGACACGACGTTCCTTAAGCTATGAGGTGAAGTATACCATCATCCAAGAGTTGGAGAATGGAACAAGGCAGGTTGATTTGGCGCGCCAGCATGGTGTGAATGAATCTACGATTCGAACAATAAAGAAGGATGCAGCCAAGATAAAGGAGCACATGAAGATCACAAAGTCTACAGGTGCTTCTATGATCAAGTATTTTCACAACCAGGTGCTTCTCAAGACAGAAAAATTACTTGTGAGGTACTTGGTGCGTCAGGCGCGACGGAACATTGCAGTCGACGCGCGCTCTGTTAAGGAGTACGCACGTGAACTGTACATGGCAGTGGCACGAAAGATGGGTAATTACAGAGCCCAAACCCTTTAATGCTTCCTCTGGGTGGTTACAGAGGTTTAAGATCCGGAACAAGATCACCAATATAAACATTGGTGGTGAAGAAGCGAGTGCTGACCGTGCTGCGGCTAGGGAATTTCCTCCGTTTTTACGTGAGATTATGAAGGAAGGACAGTACAGTGACGACCAGGTGTTTAACATGGACGAATCTGGTCTTTTCTGGAAAAAGAATCGTTGAAGATGCAGAAGGAACGCATCACCGTCCTGTTTACCACCAATGCCTCCGGTACCTGTAAGCTCAAGTTATCGGTGATCCACACAGCACGCAAGCCGCACGCCTACAAAACCATGGACATGACCAAGCTAAATGTCCACTGGCTGACTGCACGTAAGGCGTGGATGTTCTCTACACTGTCCCTCTCCTGGTTTGATGACTGTTTTGTTCCCGATGTAAAGAAATTCTGTGAGCGACAGAATATGCCATTCAAGATTTTGTTGCTGCTGGACAACGCACCAGGACACTCGCCCCTACTGTTAGATCGTCACCCCAACGTAAAAGTGGTCTTCCTTCCTCCCAACACTACGTCTGTATTACAGCCCATGGACCAAGAGTTTATCTGTAATGTAAAAGCTGCATTCTCTACGAAAAAATTCAAACTCCTAAACGACTACACCAACACCAGGGAAGAGTTGCGTAACCTGAGTGACACCACCACCGATAGCAAGAGCGAAGAAGATGAGGATCAACAGTTGGCACAGCAAAAAATACTGTTCAAACAATTCTGGAGAGTATTTAACATCAAGAAAGCTGTGGACTTCTTGGTGGAGTCATGGGATCAGCTGTCTATTGCTACAATTCGTCACGCATGGAGACATGTGTTGCATGGAATACCAGGTGAGAGGAGGAGTCAATCTGTGACTGGTGAGGTTCAGACTGTTGCAGTAGCAGTGGACCTTGCCAGAGAAGCTGCGCAGAGTGTTACAGTTCCAGGCTTCTCCGAGACCACCAACGACGACATCATGGAGGTGATAATGGAACCTGATGTGACTACCGAGGAGATGGTACATGATGATGACGACGTCAGTGAAGAGGCAGGTGGTGCGTCATCCCAAGAAGAACAACACTTATCCCATAGTAATGTTAGGGGTGCCATCGAGTGTATCGAGAAAGCCAAGCTCCTCCTTTCCGACGACCCTGACGCAAACAGGTATGAAATCTTCACTACCCAGCTGTTGCAGACTATGGAGCCCTACATCAAGGTGTATCACGACAACATCAACACCAGCCGTCAGCAAAGCATAACAGATTTCTTCGCCCGCAACCCACCACAGCCAGCCCAAGCCAGTGATAGTGACAGTGAAGATGACTTTGAGGGATTTGTCAGGGAAGCCCTGACAACTGTAAGTGACAGTGATGGTGATTCACCTAGTAATGGTGATTCACCTGAGGGCCAGTAGCCTGCCCTCTGCCTCGGAACCAGCCTCCATCCCCGTACGCCGTCCCATCTCTTCTACTAACGTAAGTGTTCCACCTAACTTTTAGTTTTCCTAACCTAACCTTTATTTTTCCTATGTTAACCTTTATTTTTCCTAACCTAACCTCTTCTATATTACTTGTTTTTTCATACCATCATAAAGTTAAGACAAAATTTTTACTACAACATAGTTGTGTGTCGTCAAAAAGTGGAGTTTGGGGGTCGGCCTGGACTCTATTTCAATTAATCCCATATGTTATGTTATTCACTTTACGCGTTCCTCACTTTCCGCGGGACCCTGCGGGTTACATTAACCGCGTAAAGTGAGGGTTTACTGTATATATTTATTTAACCATACTTTTAGATAAAGTATTCATGATTATTTGGATAAAAAACTGGTGTAACGAAATTAGAACTGATTTTATTGATTCTGGTGTCAACATTTCATAGTTTCTTTTTTTAAGAATGGAATTCCCATCATCATTATATATCAAAATATTTTGTTTAAGGATATCTTATTGGAAACGTCTTGTAAAGAATTTATTAAGGATCTTTATGGTATCAAATTCATCTCGCTATCACAATTAGCCATGCTTGAGTGAGGAAGGGGGGGGGGAGAAAACTGACTGCACGACCCTCCCCCCTCACCTCCCCAAAAAGATTTGAGAATTTTTATTCTGGTCAGCCTGTCTGTGTTGAAGTGGGAAAGGGCTTGTAAGATTTCCAGCTTGAGAGACTTTATCATTACTCCTCTCCCATTTTTTAGAGTGGATAAATGGAGAGAAGGTTCTCAATAATACTATAAGGAGAACAATTCTTATCCAATTTTAAATGTGAATTTATTTTGAAATTTCTCTACTGTACTTCATAAACAAATTTCTTACCCAAAGGAATAAAATATCTGTTCCTTTTGTTAATTATTTTTTATAATGCAAGTATTTTTGTTTTATCATTTGTGGTGATGGAACTAAACTTGACATCTTTTCAGGCGGTCTACAGAGGCAGCTACAATCGCTTCACACCATACTGAGGATTTCATGCTTGTGTTCATTAAATAACTTGACAGTGCCGTTATCAACAGCTGTGGCAGTTTGGTTAGAGGACTTAACTCCCAGCCTCTGACCACCTCTTGTTAGAAATGTCCCATGGAGTATCACCATCAGATGGGGTCAGTTCACTTCACTTTGTTGACAGTCAGTTCTTCATACCAGCATGCAAAGAGCGAGGTTCCTTTGTGATAACTCTCTTCCACTTGTGTTTATGGGGCTCTTCTTGGTAAGAATTAGCAGCTTTGTAGGGCAGCTCAAAATAACAACTTTATAAGGCTGTCAATGATCTGTAATTTTATGGGATTTTCAAGGAAAAAACTTTATAGGGTTCATCTAAGGAGCCTTTTCTAGATAACTTTATTTGGCCTATCTAGGTAATAGATTTATGGAGGTTATTTAGTTAACAACTTTGTCAGGAAGGCCTTCCTCATAATGGATCCCATCTGGACAACAACTTATCATTGAAGAATAATAGTCACTATATAACTGCCTTGTTGAAGACCCATCAACAGGTTGGTGGCAGCTGGATGACAGGTAGAGGATTGGCAGTGCATCAATAATATACCATCATACAGTTTTGTACAAGAGGTGGCCTGGAAGGTGGTGGTGTGAGGCCTCCCACACCAGTTGCACCAACACATGGACTTTGTGCTCATGTTACCATTTTTTCTTGTAATGTTTTGTGTGAATTTGTGGACAACTTGGAAACTTGAGTTTCAACCCATGTGGACTTTTTCTGCATTAGTGGAGTAATTGTTATTATGCTGAGGGCACCATAGAGGCCCTTTTCATGAAAGCAATTGTGAAATGATCTAAACTGGATTTTTAATGTATTCAACGAAAGCGTGACTCATATAACCTATACTTGAACAGTGTAAATTTATACACTGAAGGTATAATTTATAACAACCTTATGAATCTCCACTTTTAATAATAGCCCTATTGATATTAGCTAAAGAATCTCATTTTGCTTTATCACCACATATTTTTTTATTGTTCAAGACTCAAAGTGCAGCGTGGTTTGCACCCACCATTTATTAGGGTATAGTTATTATTTTATTATTATGATGTCATGACATCTTAAATCCCCAAGGCATTATATTAAGAATGGTTTTGGTAGTGAAATTTTATATTTTGTATGATGCAGAACCCCACATTAAAGGTCACACTTACAGATAGATAGTACTAAGTCACAAATGTCATTTTTTTCTTATTGGATTAAAGGAAGAAAAGATTATTGTAGCTTCACGATCATTTGTAGCTGGACAATCACTCTTTTGTTTGGTAATATGACAGTACAGTAACTATATGGCCACCATGACTTACTTATGCTTTTTAGTACAACAAAAATATTTGTGTGGGTTCTCCAATATACCTCCTTATTGTTTCTAGGTCAGTACATTTATGTAGGTTAATTCTCCCCCTTACTCTGTACAATATTTGCAAATTTGCACCAAACTATTGAGAAAATCAAATTGTTTGTAGTGATGGACAGCACAATCATTTTCTCCATATGTTCTCTCACAATGATACTGATGTATATGTGGATGTTTCCTTGGTGGATTTTCTGGTAGCACTGTAATCAGGAATCTGTGAGCTTTTTACATTAATGTTTATCTAAATGATAAGTGTATTCATTACAATATTAGTGTCATCTGTGTCTAAGGTATCAGTGACTAGTGTGTTTTCTCATGTTTTGTAACTGACAGCTTTTGCTGCATTGTCAGCACTGCAGTCACGGTGAACTTAGGGTGGAGCAAACGGCATTGGTACGAGCCTTTACGTATATGCCAGCTTGACCTATGACCATGATACTCCTGGTACACCCAGCCAACTGACTGACATACTCAGAGCTCCATCCATGCTCACCAGTGACCATCCTGCACCTGTCATCCTTCCTCCTCTCCTCTCCTTATTGTGCACTTTATCCATCATTCCACTTGTGTTTCCATGTCTTGGGTCTTTCTCTTGTGATCCATTGTTATGTTTACCTTTGGTCAACTTGATACTTCAGAACAAAGGACTTCTTGTGTTTATTTCCCCGATTGGCACAAAACTGAAGTCATCGATAGGGTGCATTCAGGAGAGGGAAGTTATGTTTGTGCATAAGTGTTTATCTGGTGTTTGTTAGTAGGGAAGTAACATTTGTACATTTCCCATGCTGGCATAATAGCAGTTAATCATTAGGGTACAACAAGGAATTATTCAAATTTCTTGGTGGTTTTCAAAACTAGATTTTTAGACAATATATGCATGAAACTCTCCTGGATAGTGATGTGTCTGTGACCACATAAAGATTGTCAAACCAAAGATGTCAGTATTTGTCCAATTTGCAAATTCCACTCTCTTTTACAATGTTGTTAATGCCAGTTTTATGTTTTTTAAATGTGCTTGTATCTCATACTTCTGTTTGTCTGTTTTTCTGTCTTGAGAGGTAAAGTAGCAGCAGCATGTAATAACCCAAATGAACCAAAGATCTACACCTGTTGTCTTCACTGTCATCAGGCATATATGTAATGCTGCCACAATGGGAATTACATATATGTTAAGATGCTTCCTTGATAATTTTGTTTAAAAGTTAGTATTTTGTCATACATATTTTTGCCCATAAGTATGGAAAAATGTACTATACCTGGCACAAGGGTTATTTGTTTTTTATGCATATACATATTTCATGGGTGTGTTGGGGGTACAAGTTGTGTGTGCGTGTGCGTGCGTGCGTGCGGAAAGTTTTATAACTTGCCCTTAACTAACTAGAAAGCTCTTATATTCAGAAATTTAAATATCTCATAATACAATGCATACAAAAACAGTATTTGTATTTTGCACTTAACTGGTAAGTACACTTATCTAAAATACTTTACTTAGTTTTTTCTATTAATGTTTACCACATACTGTAAATAGCTACAGAAATCCAGCTCTTTACAACATTTATATACTGTACTGTATTGTCAAACAATTTTCCTGTTGATTATGTAAGAGAAATTTTAACTAGCACAGTCTCATATCTGGCTCTGCCTGTACACTATATAGAAGATGCTGGATAATAAAACATACATACATACATACATACAGTAAAGTCTTAATATTTCTCAGTGTTCAAGAGGAAGCCCTTTGGGGTACACTAACTTTTACAGAATAGCCATAGTGCCCCCCACCCCTCTTCAGTCACTGCAGTTCACTAATATCTACATGTATACACAATGAAATATGTAGAACTTACCACATGCACAGTATAATTTATAGTATGAATATGTATTTCACAGAGTAAGAATGTTTGAACACAGTGCAATCATTAGCTAGGTTGTTGGTGAGCACAAAATGCACCAATTACTGTTTCCTAAGTACACTAGTGCACCATTTGACTGGAATAATTAATGTATGGAATGACTCGGAATAGCAGAAATTGAGGTATAGAAAAGCTTTTGTCATAGAGTTACACTCCACCCAGCTTCCCAATGTAACTTCACATACTTCAACTATAATGGGCAGATACATGTTGCAAAATTTAGAAAAATTACCAATTGTAAATTATATACAGTACTGTTTATTTAAAGTACACCACAAGGTTCAGTATTAATATTGTGGTCATAATGTACAGTGGTCCCTCGGTTAACGAACACAATGCGTTCCACAGAGTCATTCATGAACCGAATCTATTATTTCACTGGGATGTTGGGTAATTGGTTCCAACTCACAGAAAAAGTACATACAAAGTACTGTATACCAGTAATAGAATTAACAAAACAATAAATATAAACTAAATACAGTACTGTACAATAATAAATAAAAAACAATCAAATACTGTATTTTAACTTAATTTGAGGTGTGTTTGTCGTATTACCGGCAGCTTTGTTTACATATCAAACAGCTGATTGTAGAGGCAGTCCATGATGACATGCCATATTCTTTACAGAGTGCATTGGTTCTAATGCCTTCGTCATGTTTCATAATAATTTCTGCACTGTATATTATCAATATGTTAACTAAATTTCAGAATGACCAATAATTTTAATGTAAAAATGCAAAAATATTCAAGAGACCAACAAAATTGATGTTCACTCCACTGTAAACAAAGTTAAACTGAGAAGCGTTGTTGGGTGATTCAATCAGCTGATGGGCGCACAAAAACTGTTCCCTGTACTGTCTATATTATCAATATGTTAACTAAATTTCAGAATGACCAATAATTTTAATATAAAAAATGCAGAAATATTCATGAGACCAACTTTCTTGATATTTACTTCACTGAAAACGAATGTAAACATAGAACCAATTACTGTATTGGAGGACTAGCCGATCAGCTGATCAGCAGATGCGCACAACAAAACTTGTTTGTCGTAAAGAGTTCGTTAATCGAACTGAAAATCCTTATGGGAGCTAATTCGTTAACCGAAATTTCGTAAATCAAACCATTCGTTAACCGAAGGACCACTGTATTCATAAATATTTGATATAAATGTATGGGCTGTATACTATTATGCCGTATTGTACTGATGTAGCGGGTCACATATAACATGTCAAAATGTGACAGTACTTTACCGTGCTCCTTTATGAAGTAACGTCTTCCACCCTTGATATAACTCCCTTTCTTAGAGGTCATGCTAAGTCACACACCTCATCAAAGTAACAGTTTTTAATTTTTCACCAAAAAGAAGAAGAAACAACCTTATTCCCCAACTGATTACTGTAGTAAAGTGTGATAGTGGCTCATATGAAGTTAAGTGTTCACTTACTGTTATAAATATCTGGTTCACTATAAAACTCATGCTTTATTACAAAAAAATACAGAACATTTGCTTAATAGATTATCATTAATTAAGTTACATACAACGGTATTTCTGTTACCCTGCCTAGAACTGTACGGTATTGTTCTCAGTACTGTCTGTCTGTCCCTCTACTCCTAAATAACTCGAGAACTAGTACCAAACTTGGGATGTTTGATTAATGTGTGACAAGATCCATATTATACAGCCACTCCTCAACTTACGACAGGGTTAGGGACCCAAATCCAGGTCGTAAGTCGAAAATGCGAAGATAATACATAGAAAATCTAAAATGGGTGTCTCTTTTTCTTCTCATCACCACAAAACTCTCACTTTTAAGCATGCCAGCCATTTTAAATGGAATTACAAACGAAAATTTTGTCGGTACACAGCGCAATCACTAACGTAGGGACTCGAAAATACGTAATTTGAAAAAAAATTTGGTACCACTGGGGCGGTCGTATGTCGAGTAGGTAGTAAGTCATGGAGTGACTGTACATGATAGAAGTTTTGTGTAAATTACGCTAAAATTGACCAGTTTGCACGACAATAAGAGATCAGGTATTTTCAGGGGTTAAAGAAATTTATGACACGAGACCGTGTTGTGTAGTGGCTAAAGTACTGTAAGTGTCACTAGTTCCGTATTTACCCTGCCATACTGACATTACACAGGGTTTGCATCGGCTTAGATGGTGTTTACCTATAAAGTAATATATGCTAGCCTCTCTTGGCCAGCTATGTCATTTGCTTGTTTGTTGTTGTTGTGTATTGTCAGACATCATGATCAGAATGAAATTAAAAGTTAAATGTTCTGTTTATTGCTGAATTGAAAGAAAATTATACACTGAAAAGATCATCGTTGGAACACAATGGTGCAGCTGTTAAACAGGCATATATGTTACAGCACTGTGCAGTAGTGTGATTTGTTTAAAAACCTGGTAGATATTTAGTGGTATCCTTTAAAGTGAAGTTTTCTAACAAAAATCACAAACAGTATTATTTCATTGCATATAAATAACAAATCACCTGCCAAAATAATGTAGTAAGACCAAATGTTTGATAATAAGGTGGAAATAATCATAGAATGTGATCCTGCCAGGTTACCTTATTTGCATGGTGATTTGCAATGTGATTTGTTGAAATATTATTCATGACTAAATTGCAGACATTATCCGGCAATAATATTCCAACAAAAAGCAACTCCAGAATAATGACAATATGTAAACAGATAAGGTTGTCCATAAATGCTTCTAGAATGAACAAACAGCAGTAGTTTTTATTTAAATACTTTTTCTGATGGGTTTGTAATGATAAAAAAAATACCTGTAGTAATTTGAAAGGTAAACAGTCAGTTCCCCTCTAATGAGTGTTTTCGTAACATAATTTGGTTATAATGTGACGAATGTATTAAGGAGCACAATTTTTACAACGTGGATGCAAATTGGATATAACACGATTTGAGTAAATGTAATTTTGTTACTCAAATAGGAATAAGTGGTTACGCAGGTGCCTCGGAATAACATCACACAAGACAGGACGCTGCCAAGCACTTGGCTCTTTGTTTGTCTAGCATACACATCACAAGTGTTATTGTGGACTGTGCTTTACTTTAGTATCAATTTTATTGCTATTAATTACAATGAGTGGCAAGGGTGTGAAGCAATCTGGAAGTGAAGTGAAAAAAGAAAACTATTACTGTGCAGTAAGGAACCCCCCTAAGTTGGACTATATGGGGCTCAAGCTAGTCCGACTTTTGTGGAACCAAACGCCCATAATTCAACCATCATTTTGCTGAAAATTCATATCCAAAAATAAATATAAAATTAACAATACTGTACTTATTTACAGTGCAACTTACATTGTAGCAGATGTATTTTTATATTACAGGGGGTCCCTGACTTACGAATGCCCGCCAATACGATTGGGGTTTAACTTGAAATTTACATTATTTTATTTACCTTTGAAGACTTATTTTTACTTTCATTTACTGTATTTTGTCATTCGATTTTTTTCTTTTCTCTTAAATTCAGTGATTTTAGATATATTTAAGTACTTAGGTTATGATATAGTGGGATTTTAAACATTGTTCAGTGAGTACAGTATGCACATAGCATGTGTTCCGACTTACTCACAAATCCTCCCTAAGAATGTCCTCAGGAACAGAACCCGTTTGTAACCCGGAGACCCCCTGTATTGTAGCAGATGAATCTTGAGTTGAAGGACAAAGGGGGCTGCTTAAACTTACTTTACTGTACAGTGTTTTCATTTATACTATTTAGTTTCACTTATATATATCTGTACAGTTACACTTAGTTAGAATTTCTTTTCTTGGTTTAATCACTGTTGGAATCGAGGATGCGAGGTGGCAGATCATGGGTTATACCACCAATTCTGACTCTGAGGTGTAGGGTAAGTGATGGCAGACCCACCGACCTTAATTCGACTAATGGAGTTCCGACTTATGGAAGTCAGACGTAGGGAGGTCTTGCTGTACTCTTCAACAAAAACTTTATCGTCAGACTGATTCCATCTCCTCTTTCACCA